ACTCCTGCTAGAAATGGTGATGAGGATGTACTTCCTGAGATGCCAGATGAAATTGACACTTCTGATAAACTTGAAACTGTCGATGAACTCGAAACTGTCAGTGAACTCGAAACTGTCAGTGAACTCGAAACTGTCGATGAACTCGAAATTGTCCGTGAACTCGAAACTGTCGATGAGCTCGAAATTGTTGGTGAACTTGAAACTGTCGGTGAACTCGAAATTGTCGATGAACTCGAAATTGTCCGTGAATTCGAAACTGTCGATGAACTCGAAATTGTCGGTGAACTCAAAGTTGATAGGGTTAATGTCGGGGATATGCTTAGTTTATCCAGCGAGTTTGATGTTATTTGTTCAAAAGGACGCGATGTCGTCTGCTCAGGCGAGCGCGACATTGAATTTTCGAGATTTTTTGGTGCATTAAGGCATTTTATCCTTCCTTCTTGGGGGCTAATCGATAAGTGATTACCCAATCCCCCAAAGATTATAATACGACGACAGGTTGGTGAATGGCCGGTGCATCGCCTGGTGGAGGGTAAGTTCATGTCCCGAAAAGTGGTAAAAGGACCAGCTTACCAAATTATCAATGCGCCGCCGTTCGATGCCCACATCGGAATAGAAAAGTAAGCCAACGCATCTCCTAAGCATGAGGATGTATTAAAGTTATATTCAAGCTGTTGTGAAACGGTTGAATCTTCGAAAATAATAGAAGCGGTGCACGACCGTACGGCAGGGCTGATTAGCTCTGTGATCCATTCTCCAACTGCGAGTTGTACCGGCTCGTTTGAACGGCATTCCCGGGTAGGTGGTGTTGGCTTTGGTGCGCCGAACGCGGCGGTAGTAAAGCTAATTACTAGAAATAAACCTAGAAGGCACTTCATTTTTTGGTTTTGTTTTAGAAAGATAATATTCCGAAATTACCTACGCAACAGGCGTAAACTCGCAATTTAAATAAATAACATTTAATTTTAATACTAGATTTCGGCTCCGGAATCTGACTCCGGAATCTGGCTCC